GCCCTCCCCCAGCCCCTATCTCTTTTCCATCATCCAGAAAGTGGTGTCCCCAAAGGGGGGGAGTTAAGTGTGTGTGTGTGTGTGTGTGTGTGTGTGTGTGTGTGTGTGTGTGTGTGTGTGTGTGTGTGGGTCAGCAAGTACTAACCCCCCGAAAACCGCAACAAAAATGTGGCGAGAAATCTGTGTGGACCGAGATCATAAATATTCAGTGGTGAAGGTCTGATCTCTTTCTCTCTCCTCTCTGCTGTGTGTCTGTTTTTTTTCCTTTTCTGAGTGAAACCAGCTGTCGTCTGAAGAGACGCCGCTCCCTCTGGATCTGACAACATGCGTGACAATGACCACACCTCTGCTCGCACATCTGTCATCCTTCGGTCTCTTCATATTTCCAACTTTCCGTTTTTCCATTTTGCCTTCATCTTTCCCAGGGAAACATCGTCTTCTCGCTTTCAAAACGTTCAACCTTTCTAGGCTGCAAATGGGCTAATCACATCTCTTTTGCTGGCCAGCGATTTTCCAGACACAAACAGAGAGCGTCGGGAATTGTAGGGGACTGCCGCCGCACAAAACTGGAATTCAGTGCTCTCTTTTTTCTCATTTTATTGCAGAAACAAACTTTATTGGGCTAGTGAGTGATTGAAAATGAGTGAGGAATAGGGGGGTAATTTAAAACCAGTGTGGTCCCTGATAGGAGCATTGTGGACCACAAGCCTGTTCCTAATCCGCCCCTCAGCTTTGTGTTTGATTGGGTACTGTTGAAAATGGGGATGAATCTGCCTCTTCAAAGCCTGTAACATAAGAGGAATGTGTGTGTGAGTCAAAGTGTGTGTGTGTCTGTATTAAGGTGATCACAAAAAGCGGATTGTGTGCAGATGGACAAATAGAAATTACACTGGTAAATTTTGCATAAGCCCTTTATGAGCTGTTTCACTTATTACTGAGCATTTTGAAGCCATTGCTTAAGCAATTACAGTCCTGGCTTCAGCGCTTCAGTAATTATTAAACTTTCATGCCCGTGCCAAATTATTCATGTATTTAAAAAAGAAAAACAACAATAACCAGACACTCAATATTGTGCTTGGCTAAGAATGCCGTGTCTGATTGCGATGGGATACTTCAGCATCGAGATCAGGCCTTGGGTGAACATTTAGGTTTGGGAAAAGGGCTGAATACAAAAATTAGGGCGCGCCTGGGAATCTGAGGAAATACCAAAAAGAAAATATAGCTTTTTTATTAGTGTTTCTGAAGTTATGGTGACTGTAACGATAAGTCTTGGCATTAATATGAGCTGGCCACACTAGAATCTCAATTATTACTTGCCCTGTGGGCTAAATCGGGGGTTTCCAAAGTGGACACACACTTAACTCCCAAATATGTGAGAATATGAGGAAAAAATATGTGTGTAGCGGCACCCACTTTTTAGAGGGATAATCTGCATGCAAACGTCACGGCCAAAGATTTGATGAAATATGCAAAAATTCAGGGGTGAACTGGAGGAGAAGTTGCATTTTAGATGAATGTGACTCATTTTTTTGGAGTTCATACAGTATAAACAGCTCCTGGGTGGTGGTGGAGGAATGATCATGACAATAAGTTTTTTAATCACAAAGAAACAAAACAAAACAAAAAAATCTGATTTGAGACACCACCGTGGATCACAGGTAGGTCCCAGGTTCAATCGTTTTTCCAAAGTTGCCAATCTTTCTCTCTACATTCCTCGCTTCCAAGTCTTCCATTACTCACTTCCTAATAAATTTAGGAAGAACGCTCCTCTTTCCTCCAGGCTCAAGCCCTTTTAAGCTCTACACCTCAGGCTATACTGTAACAGACTGTGTCAGGCTGGACCGATCCACTTCAGGCCCCATCTGTTGGCATTTAGCA